ATTCCCCAGCCAGCATGCTGGCTGGGGAATTCTGGGAGTTGAAGTCCACACTGCTTAGAGTGGCCAAGTTTAAAAAACACTGATTTAGAGCAATGTTGGAGTTGTTTTGCTCCAGAGATTCTCCACACTGGTTCAGATAACGCAACCTTGGTCGAGCGAGCCACAATTTTAGACTGACTTTCCCCTGCTGCTGCTTTCCAACTGTGCTGCTGCTGCAACTCCCATGATGGCTGGGAACTCTAGGATTTATAGTCCTGGTCCACCTGGAGGACACTGGGTTAAGGCATGATGCTTTTTAACCAGACTGTTCTCTCTCCCCTGCTTGGGTGTTTTCATTCTTGACTTATATTCTGGGCCTTGTAGTCAGCAATTAAAATGCTGTTTTTCTGGTTTCAGGGTAATGGAACATTGACTTGAGAAATCTTGGAAGTTTGGCACTGTGATGCTAGAGAGAAAGGGGCAAAAAAGAAGAGAGGGATTACAACATGCATTCTTGCTCAATTCCATCAAAACCTCAATACATAATTTTTCCTTAAAGGTCTTTTCTTATTCCTTGTGTTTTAGGATTCCACCACTGTTGTCGCTGCCCTCTTTATAGAATACAAGCCTTCCCTGCTTCCTCATTTGCCAGTCCAGCTCCACACCCCAAACAACTTCCTGATGATTGCACTTTTCCCAAAGTCAACACTTTACAAAGCTTTCTATTCCCAGGTAACATCAGCCGCGCCCTGTGCTCAGTTTATGTGCATCTTTCGTTTGCTTTAGCAGAGAGTAGACAATTTGGGGTACTCGCATTCTCTCTTTGCAGTTCTCCGGACAGAATGGAAAGGGCTTGGCATGCCTTGTGGAGGAGTCTTCTAATCTCCAATTATTAGGCTTGTTCGCAAATGCACATGAATTGCTCGGGTGATGAATTTCACGCCCAAATCGGCTGTTGCAGATTGACATCGGCGGCAGTGTTTTGTATGCAGGGGCTTGTTGTACACCCAGCTTTCAGTCACAGAGAGAATTGTGCAAAAGGAAGAAGTTGGGGAGGAGGGACATCTTTAAGATCGATTGTTTAATCAAACAGGAAGTTAGGAAAACCTAGTTGGAGTCAAAATGTGATACAGTCAAATTAGACTGTCCAGAGCAGGGTTTCTCAACTTTGGCCACTTTAAGACATGTGGACTTCAACTCCCAGAATTGAATCCCCATGCTGGCTGGGGAATTCTGGGAGTTGAAGTCCACACGTCTTAAAGTGGCCAAGGTTGAGAAACCCTGGTCCAGAGATTATCCACCTCAGTTGCTAATGTGTCAAAGAAACAAGTTACTGTAGGGCCCAAGGAGGGAATTCTTAAATTTCTACCAACATTTAATAATGCCCTACAGTAACTCCTTTTCAGCATATTCTTTTCTCATTCACCTGGTTCCAAATCTGCCAGATTTCTATGTGACAATTAATAATAAAGTGACTAAGGGGGGAAAAGCATATTTGTAATAAGTGTCAACATTGACAAGAAGGCTGATACCATTACCAGTCTTAACAGCTGGTATAGGTAGGCTCCAGGAATGGAAGCACTAAGCTTATGAATTTTATGGTGAAGGATATGGCAACCCTGTTGGCTTCCTGCAGGGGTCTGGTTGCAGATGGCTGGACAAGACTTGAGCTATATTCTCTCGTGTAACAGAGTACTGCAGTCTGCTATAGTCTACTGCAGTTTTTTTCAAAGTTGGCAACTTTAAGATGTATGGACTTCAACTCCCAGAATTCCCCAGCCAGCATGCTGGCTGGGGAATTCTGGGAG